TGGGCAGTCGCCAGCCGACACTGGACGGCGGATGGAAGTCGGTGGAGGACTAATCTGTGGTATCTAATCGGTCTAGTGGAGGTAATTGGCAGCAGGCGGTCTCTCAATTTAGTCAGAAACCCAGGTGCTTTTAATAGTAGAATGAGAAATTGGGCATTTTATTTTATTATTCCCATCCCAGTTCAATAACACCAGTTATCAACAATCAGGCAAACACAAATACTAGCCAATATTTTCCTGATTATATATTCTGTTGTCACAACGGCCATCTAGAAGCCAATAGATTCTTTAGGATTTAGTTAGCTCAAACCGGGCTGAAATAGAAAACAATTTATTGAATAAATACTAAGAGAGTTACAGAGAAAGAACAGCACCAACCCATTTCTCTTAGACTGACCAGAATCTCCAGGAATGACAGTAAACAGACCCACTAAAGTTGCCCATTTCATGCCACTTTTTATTCTTAGGAGTTTAGATCAACTTGATGCTTGGTGACTGGGTCTTTTGTCTTATTTTTATACTTTTCTTAAGGAACAGAGAGAATAAATAATAACTAATTATTTCTTACTCACAACTTCAAACAATTTAATGCTCTGCCTGTTAGCTTTTTTGTCCCAGACAAAAAAGGGGATTGATCTGGTAGCATATCTTATCAACAATGTGGGAACACAGCTAGTTAAACCTTTGCTAAAAATATTTTTAAGAGAACCAATTACTATTTCAATCTTGCATGCTATTATTACAAATACAAAGTTTATATAATTGAATACAAAGAACAAATGATAATTATTTAGACATATACCAGTTGCATTTTAAAATAGAATTGGTGCATTAATGAAATACCTTGTTGAATTGCAAATATAGTTTAGATACAGATTGAAATATAAAACTTTTATATGGACAGCCAGAGTTGAATGTTTCAGGTTCATGACATCAGTGGTGGGATTCAAAAAATTTACTACTGTTTCTGTGGCCATGGCTTGATGGGCGTGGCATGGCTTGGTGGGCATGGCAGGGGAAGGATATTGTAAAATCTCCATTCCCTCCCCACTCCAGGGAAAGGTTACTGCAAAATCCCCATTTCCTCCCAATCAACTGGGACTCGGGAGGCAGAGAATAGATGGAGGCGGTGCCAGTCAGAGGTGATATTTACTAGTTCTCCGAACTACTCAAAATTTCCGCTACCGGTTCTCACCACAAAGTCCAAACACTATCTGAAGCAGGACCTGAAGGCTGTGATGTTATTTGATTTGAACTACAGGAAGTTCTCTCTTAGAACCCCAGTTGGGATCAGCAACACCATTACTAAGTGCCATGATTGCTAAATAAAAAATCATGTGACTGCAAGGACTTACAGCCTCACTTCTGTTTCAGTTGTTAAGCAAATCATCACAGCTGTTAAGTAAAACATTCCATATTCTCAATTATCTCTGCTTTGACACAAGCCAGTTGCAAAACACACAAATGGTGTGACCTTGGGACACTGCAACAGTCATAACTCTATGCCATTTGCTAAACTCCCAAATGGTAATCACGTGATTGCAAAATACTGCAATGATCATAAAAGAGAGGATTGATCACAAAGCTGGGGGTTTCCTTCACAAGTGTAACAGTCGCTAAATGAGGCAGACAGTAAGAAAGATATACCTGTAACTATTTCAATGATCTATATAATAAAAATATTTAATTCATCTTCAGGTATTTATCTCTCAGACTTGACATATATTGACTCAGCATATCCATCAACAGGAAGTATTCTGGAAAATGAGCAGAGATCAAATTTAATGAATAATATTCTTAGAATAATTTCAGACTTACAGCAATCTTGTGAATATGGTAAGTTACACCATGTATTTATATTAATAAAGCTAAAGATTTGAATGAAATTGCTTGAATATTAATTGAGGCTTGCTCAAATTTCACTTTTGATTAAAGGTGGTGATGAGATATTTTAAAAACATTCAAGATATGAAGACTAAATCTTAAAATATATCTCTTTCAACAAATGTAAATGATAATATTTGTTTACTAAATTCTTTCAAAGAGAGAACTTTTCTCAACATAGCATTCACTTTAAAAAAAATAATTAACAGTCTTTGATACAGTAAGTTTCCTATTATTCAAAAAGATCTTGGAAGCCACCCCCTTAATTTTGACTAAGCCTATTTCAAATAAAGTAGTCTCTCAGTAAGAAACTTCCTTTTTATTAATTTATCATCTAAATGCCTGATTTGGGGGGGGGAAGGGTAATATATCGTATTTTTCGTAGTATAAGATGCTCCGTAGTATAAGATGCACCTAGCTTTTGGGGAGATAAAACAAGAAGGCAAATTGCTGGGAGGCAGAAGCCAAAGGTTGGGTGCCAGTGGGTGGGCAGGGCTACATTCGGTGTATAAGAAGCACCCAAATGTTCACCCTCGGGGGGGGGGAGGCGAAGTGTGTCTTATAATCCGAAAAACATGGTAATAATAATAATAGTTAACATTGATATGAAATCATGCCATATAAAAATACATAGATCTTAGTGGTTGCCAATAAAATAACTGCTCTTCATGTATATTAATTACTATTTAGATATTCCTGTGTTGCCTCATGTTCAAAAGTACCTGAATTCTGTTCAGTATATAGAGGAACTTCAGAAGTTTGTGGAAGATGATAATTATAAGTAAGCATAAAAACTGGTCAATTGGAATGTATTCATTATTAAATTTTTGGTTTTAGAGCAATTTTTCATAAAGAACAAAAAAGTACTTGTAGTCTTGTTTTATAAATGTTTCAAAGTTTTAGTGCATTTCTATTTATAGGCTTTCACTTTTCATGAATACTTTCTTTCTCTCTTTCTTTTTTTCCTTTCTTTTTTTTTCCTAGAACGTAACACTTGGCTGTAGATATTAAATGAATTGAAAATTAAAATTAAAAGTGAATCAATGAAAAAAATAACAAACAGAAACCCCTGTAGTAGTTTAGTCATTGAACTAGGAAGGAGGAAACTCATCCATTGAAATTCACTGGGTGAGCAGTAATTCTCTCCACCCAATCTGCAATATGGGGTTTTTGAGGAGATTTCCATTTAAGTCCTTTGAGTTCCTACAGGAAAGTGGGATATAAATATAACAGATGAATAAGAATCAATAGTTGTTCAGGATCGAAGACAATCTTAAACTATTATGAATTGTTTGTTATATACCCCTATTCTTAATCATCTTCCCTTGCAATTATTCTGTTATTAACTACGGTATTTGGTATACATCATATAAATCCATACTGGATTTTTTAAAAACTAAGACTAATTGTCATGTGGCAGTTATACGTGCAATTGTTTTGTTCTTTTCTTTAAATTATTATTCAGAGTGGGAGAAAGTTTCCAGGAAATCACAGTATTTTTAAATGGCACTTCACGTGTATTTTTTAAAAATGAAAAATAGGTATTTTGTATTTTACCTATTTTTAAAAGATGAGTTTTTAAAATTTAAATCTATCAAATTATATTGGTTACTCTTTTATACTCCACCAAACTCATGATTTGGTGCCAGTCTGAGAAGCTAATTATTATATTTTTATCTTACCTTTTCTTGTATGTATGTGTGTAACTCAAGGTGGATAACATACCTAACACTCCTACCCTCTACTTTCCCCACAATAACAACCCTATGATATGTATGGGGCTGAGATAGAGAGACTGCCCAAGGTCATCCAGAAGCTTTCATGATTAAGGGAGGTCTAGAAGTCACTCTCCTTGTTTCTAGTCAACACGTTAGCCCCAACCAATCTGGTTCAAATGATTTATTGATGGATTCCTAGTTGGAAATCCTAGAAAATGAAAGTAAGTTGTAGAAGTCTGGATTTGCTATTAGCAAAATGTTTTTTTTCCCCTTAACACAGACTTTCATTAAAAATAGAACCTGGGACCAGTACCCCACGTGCCACTGCATCTCGTGAAGATTTAGTTGGTAAGTATTCAACAATAAAATGTTCTGATTCTACTCCCCAGTATTCCTATTTTCTGGACTTTTAATAACCATAAAATCTGTTAAATAGAAAACCTAATTTAAGCAAACTTTTAAATAAACTAAAAAGAGAGGGAAATGGGTAAAATCTGTATATGCACTTCCAAAACTATTTTGAAGATTTTGAAGAATTATAATAATGAACCTGTTCTTTGCTCTACTCTTTTTATTTATTTTTTCCAGGCCCTGAAGTGGGTGTTTCTCCCCAAACAGTGCGAAAGAATGCTACTGGGGAAGGAGCATTGCTACCACCAACTCCTCCATCGCCTAGAAACCTGATGCCTCATGGGCATAGAAAATGTCACAGTTTGGGATACAAGTTAGCATTTTATTTGAGATTCAGTTTCTTCTGTTATTTAAATCCATGATACTCTGAATTATTGTTCTTTAAAAATCCATGTATATGAACTAAGTATCTTCTTTAAACAATTGACTTTTCATGCATTGCATGTACTAGGTTGTATATAGCTTACTATATGGATACCTTCTTTAATAGGTAAATACAAGATAAATATAAGTAAAGATATAGATAGATAGATAGATAGATAGATAGATAGATAGATAGATAGATAGATAGATAGATAGATAGATAGATAGATAGATGATAGATAGATATAGAT